TAAAGAGAAAAGATACAGTATTTATATAAAATATGTACATTTATTCCCTTTAATGAATAAAATCATCACATGAAATCAGATAATGATTAATTTACTCCGACAGGAGAGATGATCAGAGGAGCAGAGTTTATAACATCGTAACCACCAGGACAGAAGAACGGGAAGAGCTTCTCAGTGAAGGAGCAGCCAGTGAAGGAGTAGATGAGAGCTGCAGCTTCTACGTCATAAAAGGAGACCACACCCTCCTCATAGTCCACAAACACCCCCACCTTCTGAGGACCAGACTTCACAGAGAGAACAACTGGAGGATCAGCAGAGGCATTGTATTCATTTCCATTTATCAAACATATGATCCAGTAACCATCCTGAGGACTCGGTGGACTGAAGAGTGACATGAATCTCTTCCTGTCGACTGACTCTCTGATCACTCCTAAATACCACCAAGTCTTTCCTTCAACCTGAACCTCAAAGTAGAATCTGCCTGAAGAGAAACTCTGCTTTGTTAAAACACAGAGCCAATAATAAAATCTCTCTGGGTTGTTTGGGAGATTCTTCTCCACATAACCAAGTTTCACTTGTTTCCCATCGTCAGACAGGATGAGACGAGGATGAGCTGTCTCAGGATCAAGAGTCAGATCCACTGCAAACATCTGGACCCTCTTCAGCTCAGCGTCAGCAAACCACTTCTTCATCTTCTTACTGAGTGTCTCCTCCAGCTGAGACACAGCTCTCACCACAGTCCCCTCAAATGATGAAGGACAAACACTGACCTCTGTCCAGTCCTTGGTGGGTGGTGGCTGATGGATGTTTGAGGACTGGAGAAGATGGAGGTGGTCTTCAGAGAGAGACAGCTGCTCCACCTCAGCGCTCCTCTTCATCAGCTCAGAGATTTCCTCTTCCAGCTCTCTGATGAAAGCTTCAGCCTGTTTCTTTGTGGCTTCCTGCTTCTCTTCTATGGTTTTGAGGAGCTCCTTCAAGCCTCTTCTAACAGACTCCATCAGATCAGTGAAGACCTGAACACCTTCTGCTTTCTCTCTGCCTGCATCTTCCTCACTGAGGTCGACCGAGTGTTTGATCTCCTGAATCTTCACTCTTCTCTTCTGGATCATCTGCTGGATTTCAGCCTCTGTCAGCTTCAGCTCGACCTTCTTTTCTTCATATTCTTCTTCCAGAGGAACAACATCGTGGTTCTTGTGGTCTAAAACAGTGCAGAGCATGCAGACACACGTCTGGTCGCTCTTACAGAACAGCTCCAGAGGTTTATCGTGCTTCGTACACATCCTGCCTTCCAGGTTCTCCACAGGGTCCATCAGCTGATGTCTCTTCAGCCGTGAAGCTGTCAGATGAGGCTCCAGGTGAGTCTCACAGTAGGAGGCCAGACACACCAGGCAGGACTTGAGGGCCTTCACTTTGGTTCCAGTGCAGACGTCACAGGGAACTTCTCCTGGTTTGGACTCTTGTTGCTCTGGAGCTGCTGCTGCTGCTGCTTTCTGCTTGAGCAGACTGTCTGGACTGAACAACCATCTCAGAAAATGAAGAGTGTTGACCCCTCAAATCAGGTCTG